AATAATACTATATTACTGCCCATCCCCTAATTTAAAAGCTTTTAGAAAATTCAGTTTTAGAGTCTAGCACTTCATGTATACATGGAGTAGGCCGCTGCTGGTTTGGAAAATAAAGACAATATGAACGTATTTTCAGATGGTATAGAGTATTTTATCTTATTAATTCTTCTAAAAACAAGTCTTCAATGGGATAAAGCATTAACTTCCCTAAAAAGTAGAATAAGCAGACTCAGGAATATTTCATGGTAAATTATATAGCATACCATCTGCCCTTTTCTAATGATAACCAGAATGAAAAGGCATTTAACCTCTTTATAAATGCTTGGTCACTGGAGGTCGGCAAGGTTGTTGGGGAAGAAAATGAAGGGAAACTAACATTTTTTTGAATTCCTAAAGATCGTGACTCTCGTGATGGCAATCAATACTTATCACAACCTCCTGTGGTATAGTGAAGAATGGGAGCTTTAGAGACATAGACTTGATTTCTGATCTTAACTCTCACCACTCCTTTAGCTACACATCCTCTGGCAAATTATTTCTCTCCAAGCCTCAGCTATCTCATCTGTAAACTGGGGATAATAGCACATACCTTATCAGGTGTTTATGAGGAGTGAATGTAAAGCACCTTGCACAGTGCTAGAATAGAATAGGAACAATTCAAAATTTATTATTATTATTGTGATGATAGTGATGATGATGAAGTCAATTTTGCAAAAGAGAAAACAGGTTCAGAGCCGAAGTATCTTGCTTAAGGTTACATAGCTAGTAAACTTAAAAGGCATCTAGCACCATATCTGGCACCATAGCAGGTGCCTAATCAACATTTTGTTTGCATTCATCCTTCCTGGTCTAAAATGCAACGAGTTTTTGAGACCTTATTCCTTTAAAATAATGGGTTAGGCTCAGCTTTACCTCGATTGGTGCAAGATGCAACCACTAACATACATCTGCAAAAATTAAAGACATTTTCTCTGACTCATAGATAGTAATACATGGACTAAGACAACAAAGAGAATTCCAGATCTTACAAAAAAGATGATAATTGGGTCCACCATTTTGCCTAACATAGGACAAGTCATTTCTCCTTCAAAGAGCTACATATTTTCCCACCTAGGTGTCTCTACAGATCGGCAGTCAGTGGCAGATGAGATCCTGTTTCAGATTTTTAGCTCCCAGATCTGTATACTTTATTTTATATAAGTCAGTGTACTGAAGGATGGTGCTGGCTAAAAATATAAATTGGTTCAAAATGTGTTTATGTCAGTTCATGGATGATAGATTCAGGTTTTTGTCCTTGGCCTTTTTCTACTCTCAACCCTCTACACACTCTCCCTGGGTAATCTCATCCATCCCCAGGCATCTCTACTCTGAGACACTGATGATCTCAAATCTACTTATAACGACAGCCCAGATCTGTTCTGAATCCTAGACACACATTTCCAATCGCTGATGGGAAAAGCCACCTGAATGTCATACTAGCATCTTAAACTTAACATGTCTGAAAAGAAACTCATCTTCTTCCCTTCCAAACTTGCTCCTCGTACTGTGTTCCTTCTCTTGGTAAATTAATCACTATCCTCTCTGTTTCCCAAACTTAAAACTTTAGAGTCATCCTTGACTCAGTTATTTCTTTCAACCTCAACCAGTAATCAATTATAAAGTTCTATCAATTTGAACACACTTACATCTCTTGAATGGGTCTTTTCATCTCCACAGACATTGTTTAGACCTCTAACATCATTCTTAGCTCTGGCCTAATTCAGTGGCCTCACAGATTTTTCTCCCTGCATTCAGTTATTCCCAACTGCAATCAATCTTCTACACTGCGGCCTATACTTCTACAATTATCTTGTATACATTCTTATCCTAAAAAGTGTAATTCATCATGAAATTCTCCACCAATTAAAAGCTTTCTTTTTCAAAGCTTAAAGGAAATTTTAAAAATTTCCTACATTGGGCACGCAAGACTTCACAATCAGGCCCCAACATACCTTGCTCTCATCTTCCTCGGAGTTTTATACTTTGCACTTGCTTATCTGCTCTCTAGGAATGTCTTTTTGGTAAACTTTTATTCAAATTTTAACTTAGGTCAAATATCAACTTTCTATGTACCCTAATTCCTGTAAAGAAGTTAATTGATTCATTCTGTGTACTTCCACAACACCGTTTTTATCTGTAAAAGCACTTCATACATTTAATTGCAATAACATATTTTGAGTGTCTATTTTCCCCACTGCACTGTAAGTTTCCTACAAGCAGCCATCTCCAACCTCAGCATTGGCTTCAAGGTCTGACACTCATTAATGACTAAATAAAAGCTTACTGAATAAAAATCATCCATTGAAAGGAAGTTAGAATGACATCATGGAGACAAACTCCCCTTACCCCAAATTCCTTTTGATGAAACTGCACAGAGAGAAAATCTGAAGCTGGCCAGCTGTTTGTACTGACTCAGCATAAAATTGCTTATGTTTTCAGAACTGTCACCAGAATGCATTCTTATTTCTACTCACTCAACCACTCTACATCCTAAAACCACAACCCATAAATCACAATTGTAAATTCGTCTTCTATAAACTTACAGATAAATATTTTAACGAGAACCAGGCATTTCCTAAAGCCAAAAACATTTCCATACGAAATCATTTCCCAGTTGTCAGGCAGAAGAAGAAAATTATTTTAGAACAAATTTACATGATATTAACTGAAAAAAATTGGAAAGATTAAAATGAATTCCTTGAATAGAAAGATATAAAACTTTTACCAATTATGTTAAGGGATAAAAATGAGTAATATAGTTAACCTTACAAATATGTAATAATTATTTAAGCGTTAGCATTAATTTTGGCTCAATTTAATGTTGTTTTTAAAATGTAAGATTCAAGCACTAATTAGAGTGTACTGTAGTTTTCATCTGTAATCATTTTATTTGACATGGCAATATTTAAAGAGTAGTTTTCAATGTATGATAAGCACTTATGTTTCAGTTGATAGCAACTAATTCCTTAAATGAAACAATTATAAAGCATATATTATATGCAAAGTTTTATAGAAAATAGAGATCTACCAAGAAACCATGATCCCCATCTTCACTGAGTACACAATCTAGGAAAATATATACAATCATAATAAGAGGTAAAAAGAAGCCGAGCATGGTGGCTCATGCCTGTAATTCCAGCACTTAGGGAGACTGAAGCAGGTAGATCACAGGAGGCCAGGAGTTCGAGACCAGCCTGGCCAACATGGTGAAACCCCATCTCTATTAAAAATACAAAAAAAAATTATCCAGGCGTGGTGGCCTGCACCTGCAATCCCAGCTACTCAGGAGGCCGAGGCACGAAAATCACTTGAACCCAGGAGGCAGAGGTTGCAGTAAGCCAATATCGTGCCACTGCACTCCAGCCTGGGTGACAGAGTCAGACTCTGCTCAACAAAAAAGGAGGGTGGTGTAAAAAGAATGTATTCTTAAAGTTCATGGAGGAAGATCACCTACACAGTGAAACAGCGATGATGTTGGGGGTGATGGTACAGCAAGGATTCAGTGGAAAAGGATGCTTGTAAGCTAGGCTTTGAAAGATGGTTGGGTATGAATAAAGAGAGATAGCAGAGGATTGTATTCCAAGAAAAAGTTAACAGCACAGCAAAAGGATTGAAAAGGGATGGGGTGAGATCCAGGTAGACCAGTTAAGAAATAAAAAACAATCTAGGTAAGATGTAATGAGAGTAATGATCATGGGAATGGAGAGGAGAAACGGATTTGAGAGATGTAGACATTAACTCTGCTGGATGAGGAAAGTGATTAGATCAGAAAGTGTGTGTGGTTCACTGGGAGAATGGGAGCATCATTAACAGATATAGGTGATACAAGGAAGATGAGTGGGATTAGGAGTGTTCAAATGATTGCTTTCACTTTAGATAGATTGGTTTAGAAGTGCTAGTGTATTATTCATTTGGAAATGCTGGGGAGCTTAACTGAAAATTTAGGACTAGAGTTTAGAAAGGAGGTTAGTTCTGAAGATAAATATTTGAAAGTCACTCAAATAGATGTGATCATTGAAGCCATCTGAGTAAAAAAGATTTCAGAGGGTTGGAGCAATAATTTTCAATCTTGAGCAGGAATCAGAATCCCCTGGGGTTTTGTAACCCAGAAATGGGTCCCACCCCCAGGGTTTCTGACTCAATATGTCTACAGTGGCGCTTGAGAATTTACATTCTAAAAAACATTCTCAGGTTTTGCTGTTGCTGTTAGTCAAGTCCACACTTGGAGAACCGAGATAATAAAGTCCATTATTTTTATCACAGCATTAAGTTATTCATAAAAAAATCTTGTGCCAATGTCAATATCTTCTACATCATTAAAATAGTGTCTAACACAGCTTACCCATCAATTGAAACAGAAAATCATATTTCTACTAGCTTTTTTTTTTTTTTGGTTAGAAACCATCTTGCCAATCCATAATTGAGAAACTAAGGCTGCCCAAAGAAGATGCTCCAAAATACGGCTATTGTAAGAAGGGTTCTAAAAAATTCTTATATTTCTTTCAGACTGGGCTGCACAATGTTTCTACATTCTGGTGATAGACTGGAACCCTGTTTGGTGGTCTCCACTAACCTGCTAGCTTTGTCAGCAGCCAAATATTTATTTGAGACTTTTGTCCCATATAAGCAATGGCTTGAAAAGCACTTAGCTGTTTACTTTTCATCTTACGATAAATTATTTATCCTTCAGTCTGTAAATGACTATTTGTAGGATTAGACAAATTTTGAATGCTCTGATAAGAGGACTGCAGCATCTAAATTCATGCATAATCCGTAAAAAGCACATGTAACCTACAACATCAGCTGGGCTGGCATATGAAATAGATTCTCCAGCATATATAAGCCGCGCAAATTATTAACCAGTTAACATCAGCAAATTTATTTTTGAAACAAAAGTTTACGCATATAAGCATTCTCTAATGAGAAATAATATTCGTTATAAAGATCTAATACAAACATACCTTGAGTAGGTTTTTCTACTTCTTTCCTCTTTCTGCTCTGGCTATTGTAATTCATCCTCAGCTCTTGGTTATACTCCTGCAGAGTTTCCCTGGAGTTGTATGACTGTCTTGGTTTTCTTCCATCTTCACTCTCATCGGAAGAACTGGTGTAAGCTAGATCCATTTCATGCTTTACTTTTGATAGAGGCTGGTAGGGTTTGCAGTCAGTTTGCTCCATCTCTGATTAAGCAAGATCAGTGTCATGAAAAACGGATGAGGAAGTCCTTTAATGCAAGCAGTTCTAGAAGAGAAAGGGAAAAACACAAGCCTTCTTAGATTTGTCCTTTTGTGAGAAAATGCATCTGGCAGATTCACAATTGGTCTTGATAATACTATCAAAGGAGCGAAGTAAAAGGCAAACTAGATGACATGAAGCTAGCCGGAGGCAATAATAACACTCTGTGTTACATGCATACATTGTCAGGCATTAAGGATTAAGCTGGAGGTTGCAGCATCAGAAAATACTCAAGGTAAAAGAGAGTCAGCCTTCAAAAATATTTGTATTGGAATGCACATAAAGGACAGCATTATTCTACGGCGTGTGCGTGTTTTTAATGTTAAAATCAGTGGTTAGATTAAAAAACATTATCGGATTTGAAAGTGGTGAGGAGTACAAAGATTAACCCAGCACATGCCACATTTGATGTGAAAACTGGTCAGAGAACTACATTCAGAAAGAACACATTCTTGCCTCCGGTTTAATATTACATTTAAGACAGGGGTTCTGAGGAAGGGAAGGATTCTGAGTGAGACAGCTTGGGAAATAAAGTGTCCTTGAGGGGGACTGGGCTCTTTGTGCTCATATTGTGGCTTTTGAGCCTCAGGCCTGCGGAGCATTTTTAATGAGTTAGGTGGTGGTAAATTTTTGTTCTTCATAGTACTGAGAGGATGTAAACAACACTTCTGGTGAGTATACTGGTATAGGAACAGCAGGATCTAAATCGGTTTTAGAAATAGCAATTTCAAACTTCATGATAAATCACTGAAAGAACCCCCTTTCCCCACAGAATGCTGAGCTAGGAGCCACTAAAGGTCTTAGGGCCAGTAGAGGCATTAACTGCTCTACTTAGCACAGAGAGTTTTGAGAAGACCAAGCGCCATCTGAGCCATCAAAGTCCTCCATAAAGTTAAAAGCCCTGTAAAAGTGTTATTATTTTCATTCTTTACATTATTTTATCATCACCATTTCAGTCCACTGCTGCAGCTTTGCAACTTGGTCTTTTCATACAATGTTTAAAAATCTAGTTTGAAACCAATTAACTTTATGGTTTTATTTTGCAGTGAAATTGACTCCTTCATTTTTCTTCAGCTCTTCACCATGTGTATTTTCAAAGAAATCTATAGACATCTAAATGGTGGCTCCTTTATTATGTACACTATCTCATATTTTGGAATTCCTGTTGCACTTATGGCAAGCACATAGAACACAGAAATCATTTTAAAAGGCTTATAGCTTTTCAAAGCATGATGCAGGCTGATTTTTAAAAAGGCTTATACATTTGACTGATATGTTTTAAATGGTTCATATTGTTTTGTAGTATGAACAAAGTTTCACAAGTCAAGGTCTTCTTTCCCTAATCAAATATTAAGGTCTTGAAGGCAGGATATGAGTCTTACATCTCTTTATATCCCTGAAACCACTAAGCATTACTCTAGGCACACACATAGTAGAAACTATTTAACTCCTGAACCTACAAACTGTCTTTGGAGACATGTAGCTTGGTTTGAACTAATGTAAGAGATGAGCATGCTTAAATAGAAAGCAGACACACACACAGACACACACACACACACACACGATTCAACAACAGTCTAATCTCATGCCAGTATATTGGCTTCATATACTGTCTACACACCCATAACTTCTCAGTTTATAGCTTCAGCATGGGTCTTTCCCCTGAGCCACAACTTTGAATATCCAACTGCCTACTCAATATCTGTACTTGGTTATCTACAAGATATGTCAAATATAACATGTTCAAAAGTGAGTTCCTAATTCCTACCCCTTCCCAAACCTAATCCTTTCATAGCATTCTTTATATTGGTATTAACAGATGGCCACAAGGCTCTTCTGTTTGCTCAGGCCAAAGAATCTGAAGTCATTCTTGACTCCTTTCTTTCATATCCCACATGTAATCCATCAGTAAATCCTATTGGTCCTACCTTTGAAATATATCCAGAAGCCAACCAGATCTCTTCAATTTCCCACTACCACATCAGTTCAAGCTATCATATACCTTCTGGATTATTGCAATTGTTTCCTAATTGGTCTCCTTCTTACACCATTGCCCTCCACGCTGCACCCAGAATAAAACTTTTAAAATTTAAGTCATATCACGTCTCTCCTTTGCTGAGAAGCAGCAGTGACACAATTGTCCTCAAATTAAAGCCAAAAATTTTATAATGGCCTACAGAGTACGTCCAAGGTGTGCCTCCTTCTATTCTAAGCACCCCAAACTCATCTTTGGACATTTTCTTCTTAGCTCATGTACCCTAGCTGCACTAACCCTCTTGCTGTTTGTGAAAAACCCCAGCATATGTGTGCCTCACAGCCTTTGCAACCTCCCATCAAAAAGTACCAAAAAGTGGTATGTCTCATCTTTCTTCTTGTCTTTCAAAGAAATTATTACCAAATTAAACACTATATATTTTACTTATTTATTTATCACTTGCCATTTGTCTCTGCCCACTAAAACATAAACTTCATGAAGAGAGGCATTTTTCTCTCCTCTATTCATTGTGATGTCATTCAGAATAAACACAGTGCCTTTCATATAGTAGATACCTGGTCAATACATGTTGAATGAATAAATAAACAATTGTTGAAAAATCCCAAGAGGGGCTGGAGAGAATGTGGAAATGTATAAGCCATAGGCTCTGCCCCTGAGGAACTCACAGCTTAATATACACAATAAGTAAATAGCTCTACTACAAAGCAGAATGAAGTGGCTCTTGCACACAAAAAAGACAAATACAGTAATGTCTGAGAACTAAAGATGAAGATATTGGAAAAGGATGGCACTTGATTCAGCTAGCTGTCACGACAACCACTGAAATTCCACTGCGTATCTATAAGGCCAGTTTTAATATCTTTCTTCTTAGGTTTCCATGACATGACCTTCAGAAGGTGCTATGGAAACCTAAGAAGAAAGGTGGACAGTTGTCTGAGTTTGCTATAAACAGTGCAAAATGAGAACTGTATCAATAGCAGGCTTCCAGAGATGTAGTTTTTCAGCCAAGGATTAGGCTTTCACCCAGAAAATGGGGCATCTATAAAATTCACCTAACATCAAAACAGGTTGTTCCTTTCTACAAATGCCACAGCTTCCCCAGTCCATCCCATATCCAGCCATGTCTCTTCTTTTCCTGGAACACTGATGATTTGCACAGCTTTAATCTAGCCCTGAGAGCTTTCTTAAGCTATGTGTGCCTATTTCAAATATAAAGTGGGCATCTTTACTTAAAGGTTCCTTAGGTATGGCAAGTCAGTATTTCCTCCCTCCCAAAATTCATTCATCTTCTCAAACTTCCCCATCTCTGTTAATGGCCACATTAGTAGTTCAAGTCAGAAACCTAGAACTGACTGCTCCTCCATCCACACAAGCATCTAACTCATTGCTAGGTTGCACTGCAATCTCCAGCTCTCTCATCCTTTCCATCCCAGTTGCCACTACTTTAGCTCAGTCCCTCATCCGTTCTGCCTGAACTGTAGACTTTCCTTCCCCTATACCCTTCCTGCTCCAACCCAACCTCCATACTGCCACTAGGGTCATCATCAGAATCATCAGTGTAAAGTTCTTCGGTGGCTGTGAGAGCTGAACTATAAAAGAAATGTATTCATGGACAAGACACTGGAAACAACAGGGGAAAATAAATTTGACAAGGGTACTTGCATTATAAAAATATACAAAGATAGTCTCAAATTTGTAAGCTGTGAAAGAATATTAAATATTCAAAGTAGAGTTTAGGTAAATAAAAATGGTTGCTGAGTGGAAGAAAATGTATATACAGGAACTTGGAAAACCTTGCTCAGTTTTCCTGTTAATGTAAAACAACACCAAAAAAAATAAAATAAAATCTATTAATGAAAATACCAAAATCAAATTAAAAGGTAAAAATAATTCATCTAACTTCATTTCAACCAACACATACAGTTCTTTCTTCACTGAAGAATGAGAGTTTAACAAGTCACTGTGGAGAACTATTTTCCACATAAGGCCATTGACAATAAAAAAATGGCAATCAAAGACTTTATATCTAAAAAGAACTTAATAAAATACTTTGTTATAATATAAAGATTAATGGATATTATTTTATCTTCTAAAGTACACTTTCCATCTCTTTACTTGCTCTTTCAATCAAGACTTTGGTTTGCTCTGATCAGAATTAACACACTCAGGGTATGGCCAGAATAACACTCCCTCTTAAACTTCAGTTGATTATGAATATACACTAATCTTAATGCCACTCAAACCTAACAATTTAAATTTAAAAATGAAAAATGTCTCACTTTGAATGCTGAACATTGTGTTTCAGCAAATATGATTTATCATGGTAAAATCATCCTTATTTTTATGTATGGAAACCTAGGCATTCTCTTTTCCCTCTATTACATTTATATGTAACCAGGGGGAGAAGCGGGGAGAGACAGAGAGAGAGAGAGAGAGAGAGGGAGGGAGGGAGGTGGGGAGAGAGAGAGAGAGAGAGAGAGACTTTTCTGTAGCCATTATGAAACATTTTCAAATTTCTAATCATAGCTATTCATAGTCATGAATCAGGTAGGAATGTCGTATCTATTCAAGGATATTGATTGTCCTTGGAAGCAATCTTCCTTTAAACCACAAAAGTGGTAAAAACCAAGAGAAAATAATCCTTTCCTGCTCCTTGACCCTCAATGATAACTTTTTGTCTTAAAATTTGTATCAGTGGATCCAGGTGACAAGGAAATCTTTCCAGGTCTCTCGAAGCATATGCTATGGAGGTGTACACAATTCTGTGTGCCTAGAGCTGTGAAATAGTAATTGTGATATTTGTCAAAGGCTCGAGAAACAGAGCTTGAATTCACTAATAAATAGCTCATTTTTTCCAAAATAAAAATGTAGAAAACATTAAGAAAAAGATTAATATTTTAAATCCAACAACAGTTGAAAGTGTAATAATCCTGAAAGAATGTTGTTCCAAATACTCTATGGTAAAGGATAGGCTCATATTTGCTTAATTGACTTTTTCATTCAGTGCCCACC